GAGGCAGGAAGCAGAGAGACCAGAATGCCTGCTGTGGCCATGCGGAGCTAGCCAAGATGAGCATCTGCTTCTTCTCTGGCAGGTGCCAGGGCAGAGTAAGGAAACCAGTGTGGAGCAATCTACCCAGAGCGCAAGAGAGATGGGGAAGGGCAGGAACTGAAGATGTGGCCTGAGGATTGGGTCAGGCAATTGCAAAAACTTCCAGTTTTATTTTCTTGGTTATTTATATAGAACATTAGTTTCCCCCCACCCCAGAAGCTTCAGAAAAAGAAAAACAAGTAGCTTTAGCTTTCTAGATGGCTAAAGTTTTTAATCATGTTTATTGCTTGTGATAAGATTTGTGAAGTTAGAATCCAACCCAAATAACCTTGCATGTCTCATATATACCAGGAGCTGAGCCATGCAGCCTGGCTTCCTTTGTTAGTGGTTGTAATCAAAGAAGAAGCAATACCTAGAAAAATTCTCTTTAATGAGAGAATAATCAGAAATAACATGTACCATTTGGTTGACTGTTTTTACCTTGCTGTGGGTGCTAGTTAGTTTGGCTCTTTAGTAGCAAATGCCTATTAATGTCATGAATTTATGAAACACAATATTAATCAGTGCCTTTTCAGTGACTGGCACTGTGTCAGGTGCTGGAAATATACATGGCCTGTATAATGGAAAGTGAGAAGAGGAGGTTCCTGAACTTGCTGTACTCTCAGTCCAGCATGAAAAGGCTCATAGGGTGTACCAGCTGCAATTCTGCCTCCTGGGCCTTTTATTGCTACAGACATAGAGATGATTCTATCATCACAGCAAGATTCTAGAGTGGCTTCTGGCTCAACCAGCAGATACTCCTAACTCAATATTAAATCATTGTCTGTATAGTTTGGTGCAAAAGTGTTTTTTCCCCCCTCCAGGCAGGCTTTAAAACATTGGCAATTCTGTCACTGTCTCTTTAGCCGTCCAGTTAGCCGTTAGTTAGGCTGATTAGTTAACTAGGAAAAACCTAGTCCTTATTAGCCAGGTAGACTAAATATTTACTTTAGTTTCACCTATGCATTTTTCTCATGCACTGCTTTGGTGATGATACTAGAAAATAATTCAACCTAAGAGTTTCACCTTTTATTTGGTGATCACATAGAAATTTGCTTTAATAGCACTGAAAGACTATGGATTTTGGGCTTTTAATACACAATGACAAAATACATTGTTTTTGGACATTAGTTCCTTCAGCTTTGAACATCTTTAACTTTTAGGAGGATTTAATTTTGGGGTATACTGTATATTTTTCTCTAAGAAGTTGATAAGGGAATGCTTCTGGGTTTAAATCATTCTATTATGTAAATGTCTCAATGCGGTTCATTATTGGATCATTTTACTGTTGTCATTTAATCTTATTGTTGAATCTCATTGCTACGCTACATTGGATAATACATGGTGGTAGATAACGTAATATGGGAATGTATTAGGGAGTGAATTTGCAGACTTGGATCTGGAGTCATCCTGCCATTGATTGAATTTTGATTGTGCTCTGATGCATTTCAGAGCCTTCAGGCTCTTTGAACAACCTTGTTTTCTTCACCAATGAATAGTATATGGTTCAAAAGGAAAGGTATTTTTTGGTCTCTTTTGCTGTATCCTTACTGCCCAGATCTGTACTTGGTATATATTAAGTGTTCAGTTTATATCTATTGAATGAAAAAGCCCAAAGTCACTGAGCTGGTAGGCAGAGGAACACAGGCAGTCTGATTTCAAGGCTTTCTCTAGGGACCGTTACATGACATGACTTCATGTATAAGTTTGACACTAATTAAATGTGCAGTATAGTGTTTGCTAATGATTGCATCATGCTTCCCACCCTATTATGACCACCCTGAGAGACAGAGATGATGCCAATCTCACCTGCACTTCCCCTGCCCTTCAAAGCTGGGTAGACAGTAGGTGTGAATTACATGCTGATGGGTTGCTTGGCTGCAGAGTTGTTTGCATACTCCGAGGAAGGGAAGGCAAAGGCAACCACAAGTTTTGGCAGCTGTTTTTAACTTCCCCAGGAGGAGGTTCCATCTCTCCACTTGCCTTCTTCAGACCAAGACAGTGCACTTTGGTTACTCCACTAGGGGGACCCAAATGCAAACAAAAAACCCCTCCTGCCCTCCTAAGGTAATGGGATCCCTGCATCAGCCCTCAGGAGGGGTCTGTCTGCAGGGCTCTGGCCAACCTCCGAGGGTAGCGCCCACGTGCTCCTGCTGGGCTCCAGTTCTGCTTTCTCCTTGCCTGATGGCGGCTTTTACAATCAGGGCTTTTGGAGCAAATTCCACCTCTGCGGGGCCAGGACTGCTCAGTTCTTGGGATCTCTGCCGCTTCTGCTGGTACTGACATATGGATTTGTCTTAGGAGCAGAAAAGATGAAATTTGAAGGGCTGCCAGGCTGGTGATGAGGCTGCTCTGGTTTCACATGGGAAGCCCTGAAATCAAAATCTAGTAAATGAAGGATACTTAATCTTTTCCAGCTCTCTTCTCCTCCCCTCAAAAATCAGGGCGCCTTAACCACTCTGATATTTCAACAAGAGGCCATTCAAAGTTTAGTGCTTCCATTTCTGCAGCAAAAAGAACTGGTTCTCACAAGGGCAACCTCACTTGTTGAGATGTGAAGGATCTATCTTGACAACTCACCTTACAGAGATAGATGTTTTTGTGCAATGTTGGGTAGTTTTATTTTATTATTATGTTTTAATATGGCACTGTGGAACGCCTTTTCTTTTTTTCTTTGAACAGCTTGCAAGCATGCTGCAAGCATTTGGGAAAATTCTCAGTTTTATATTTTCTGTAATAAAATCTAATACAGTTATTTTTGCTTTTCTGTGATGTCTAATTAAATTGTTTGATTTAGTTTTTGTTGTAGAGGTTGTATTTCTTTTTACGATCTGATATTTTTCTTGAGGAAGAATGCTATAGATGTTTTTAATGAAACAGATTTATTATTCTGGAGTTTAAAGAAGTTTTAGGAATACTTATATAGACCTGAAATGGTCCTGGCAGAGAGGGATGCCACAGTCTCTTTGCATTAAAGATGAAACACAGGAGACTGAGTGGCGTTAAAGCCAGGTGGAGTCAAATCATTTCACAGAATTTCACTAAAGGAGTCCTTAGAGATTTTCTCATTTAACACCAGCATTTGATAGGTGGTAAGCTGTGGTCCAGAGAAGTGATGATTTGCTTTTTCACAAAGCTGGCTAGTTGCAAAGCCCTAAGGGCATCTGATCCTCACTTGTCATTATCTCACAGATTTTTGGTGTGAACTGAGGGCAAAAATATTGCCTTGCTTCCCATGGCTTTTTATTTTAAATTAGTCTGTTGAGGAATGAGCATCTGAAATGAAGTAAATCAGAGAGGGAAAAGAGACACAAGGCTTTGAGCATTGTGTGATAAAGATGACACATTCTGGTGGAGATTCAAAAGGAACATAGAGTAGCTCTGTCCATAAGCACAAAAGGCCAGAAGGATCTCTGAAGATTGTGTCCAAGAGCAGAGGACGCACTCAACAGTCTTGCTTCGACAATCATTTAATAAGACCACTGGGGGACCGACACTGTGGAATGTTCTGGAGAATACCACCTGGCATTTGTATACATATTTTATGTTGTCTAAGCATGTTTCCACACATCATGTCCTCATTCAATACCTCCGTGTCAGCCAGGGTTCTTTGTGACCCTAGCTCACCTAAGTTATCGAGAGGTTTTTTTGAAAGATGCAGATGGGTCACACAACGGCAGGACCCAGAGCTCTCTGGGGCTGGGATGGGGGAGCAGGAATGAAAGGGTTATCTCTTCAAGCTCTGCCTGGGTTCTAACTGCTCTCAGTTTTGCATTTCCCTGCTCACCCTTGGGGTGAGGGTGTCAGATGGGTCCAGTCTGGAGTACACACACACACTCCTTGGCCAAGGGACTATGGAGGCACCTTGATGAGAAGACCCTTCAAAGCTGAGTAAAAAGCAAATTGTGTTGTTGACAGGAGAAAAGGGAATAAGCAACAGATGTTCCCTACACACCTTGTGAGGTGGGGCGTTAGGTGAAAGAATTACCTCCAAGGTATAATGGGAAATCTGAGGCTCAGAGAGGTGAAGTGACACTTCCAAGGTCACACAGCTTATATAGCAGAGCACAGTTATGTCTCCAGATGCTGCTTTTTAAACCCAAAGGAGTAGGTGAAGCTTGTATTCTGCATAACCCTTTACCCTTACTTACGGCTTGCATCGCCTCTCAACATCATTCATACCCCTCCTCCGTGGCAGCCTCGTTAACCCATCACCTGCCATTTCTGGACTGGGAGACACAGATTTTAACTCTACTCCTAGATCCTCAAATTTCCACTGCTAACGTAATAAATGAAGAATGTTTCTCACTGTGTGATAGTGGAAAAAGAGTCAGTCCAGGTTGGCCTTCTGGACACTGTGGAAGTCCTTTCTCACTTCTTATTTCTGATTAACTTATTGTTGGGGATCTGGACCTTGTAGGAGGGAAGATCAGGGCACCTAGGGAGTCATTTGTGAAGATCTCTTTGGGATGAGATTGCCTACAAGTAAGGCCTGGCCAGGGATTCATGGCCCCATTGCAGTAGCATTATTTAGACATCAGTGAACCTGACAATGTTTCAAAAACTTGCTCTCTGTTGTCATAGGAAAAAAGCTCACTCTCCCTTGCTTAGCTCTGTGATGCCTCACTTCTGATGCCTGGAGTCACTGTTGTTTGTGGAAGGCTTTGGAGTCTGCACAGTAGGGAAGGGATATCTGCTCCTCCAGTGATGTTTGCTATGGCCGTAGAATGCAGAGGGGCGGCGGGAATGCTGTGGGTTTGATGTTCTTGACAATCATGTTCTTGACCGCAGTTCTCCAGTCTCTTCTTCCAGCTTGCCATTCCTGCTTTGTTTCCCCTTTCCTCTATGCTTTCTCTAGTGTTCAGGTTTAAAAATGGAAATTAAATGAATTGTTTCAATTTCATAAGAAGCCCAAAAGATAAAGTAGATAAAAACTGGGATAAATTGGGAGGGTCTTTGGTGTCTACTGAGAGCCTGACGCTCTGCCTGGGAATCCCAGTGTGGCCAATACTCCAGCCACGATCTACTTCCCTCACTTCCTTGGACAGTCTCCTCCCTCCCTCCCTCCCTCTTTCTTTTTTCTCTTAACCTGGAATGACACCCTGCCCATCCTTCAACGTCCCAGGCCTTACCTGTTCCCTAAACCTCCCTAACGCCCTCCAGCCGGGCACACTGTCCCTCACAGTCTCCTTGAACTTCTGTCATGGCTTTTAGCTTTGCTCATTCAAGTCTGATTTGTCCCAATATGCTTAGATGCCTCTGAGTAGGACCCTGTGTGGTGATTAATCTGAGGTCCTGTAGTCAGTTCTAGTAAAAATGATACTATTTTACTGAGTGGATGTTGTTTATTTTGTATTATAGCTTTTGCAAACTTGTAGTTTTCTATCTCCTTATCCACCTACGGATAACCTTTCTGCACATCTTTTGGTTTTTGTAAAATTGGGATAGTAGTATTATTGACTTCGGATTTTCTGAGATGAGTTAATTTAATTTATGTAAAGTGCTTATAACTACCTGTCACAGAGTATGTGCTCAGTAAATATTATTTATTACTATTATTGTAATTATTGTGATCTCAACATCATTAAGATAACAACACTTCTCCACCCCGACTTCATGCCCAGGCTCCTGCCACAGAGGATGCTTGCCTTGGCTTTTCACGGGGATGCATGAAGAAGTGAACCTTGTGACTCTTGGCTTGGAGGCTGGGTGTATGAGGTGAGAATTAGTCAAGGCCTTGTTCACAATCTGAGAACATTCACACTTGTTGCACCTGCTTGGAGAAGCTTGAATTCAATCAGCAAATTTCACATTTCCCAATCCTAGCCTGGGGAAGAGCTTGACTTTAAGTCTTGCAAAGACCTCCTCTCCACAGCTCAGTGATTTTATTCAGGAACTTGCGCCTCCAGGGAGCCAGTGAGACAGGTTCTGGGAGGCAGGAGAAAGCTGCCTCAGCGGCAGTGTTTTCTCAGGCAGGGTTCTCCTGGGGGGGCCCATCCTTGCCTGCTCCCATGTGTGCCTTCAAGCCCAAGCAGCAAAAGAGTTTTCCTTCCCTCAGTCCACCAAGAACCATTCAGGAAGCTGCTCCTTGGAGGGGACATGTTGGGATGCCAGTTTCTTGGCTGGAATCATGAAGGGAATTTACATCCTGATCTGCTACAAACGAAACGTCTGTCTGGTTAGGAGGGGCTTTAGCTGTGTCTCAGATCCTTATGTTTTGGGATACTTTGTTTCTCCTTCGTCCTATCTGTTGGTGTTCCCAATTGCTGGGCAATTATTCCTGTATTTATTATGTTCTCTCTTACCTGTGGGCCTCTACCTAGAAAAATCACCCCCTCTTCTTCCCCCGTCCTCCATACCAGCCCTTTAGATTTCAGCTTCTACGTCGTTCTCCACAGAAATCTCTCTTGACCCCCAAAGACTTTTGGATGGTTTCCTCTCCTTCAGTATTGTGTACCTGCTTCCAGTATGAGCCTTCTAACACGTGGGTCACCACGGTCTGTCTCCGTGTCTATGTCTGCCTGGAAAATGACTTGCAGGCCCCTAGGGACTGTGTTGTTTGTTCAAGGCTGTAACTCTGGGGTCCTGGTCAAAAAATCTACTCATTAATAAAAAAATTGAATAAATGAGTGTATAAAAGAATCAATAATAAATGGTTATTTGTGTTTATCTCATTTTTAATGATTTTAAGAATGAGAAGATGAGTGGTGACATGGAAGAACAAATGTTCAAATGTCTTTTTACAGGAGCACTTTCGGAGAATAAAATTGTGCTCAGCATCTCCATTTTTGGAACAGATCAAAGCAGGAATTTTCTGTTGACAGGAGGGGTAAGGCCTGTTTGTCTCATTTTCCTCATCCTCCTTCGAAGCTACCTAGACTCCTTGGGCAGAATTCGGAGATTACTGTCCTTAAAAGGATGGTGCTGTTTTGCAAGACTTGCAACCGACCCAAATGCCCATCAGTGATAGACTGGATAAAGAAAATGTGGCACATATACACCACGGAATACCATGCAGCCATAAAAACCAATGGGATGACACTGGAAGCCATCATTCTCAGCAAACTGACATAAGAACAGAAAACCAAATACCTCATGTTCTTACTCATAAGTGGGTATTGACCAATGAAAACACATGGACACATGGAAGGGAACATCACACACTGGGACCTATTGGGGTGCGGGGGGCAAGGAGATGGATAGCAGGGGGTGGAAGGATAGGGGAGGGATAGCATTGGGAGAAATACCTAATGTAGATGATGGGGTGATGGATGCAGCAAACCACCATGGCACATGTATACCTATGTAACAAACCTGCACGTTCTGCATATGTACCTCAGAACTTACAGTATAATAATACTAATAAAAATGAAAAAAGCTGGTACCATTTTGAAAAGAAATGAGCAGAGGAACCACAGTCGAGCTGGGGTCCTGACTCCCTTGTTAGCTGGGGCTAATAGAACTGATGATACACGAATGCAGTCGCTAAGTGCTTTGTTTATGTCAATTTTTCATCCTCACAATAATCTTAGGTGCTGTGCACTGTGTTTATTTCTATTTTAGAGAGGGGTGGATCACTTTGAGTGACTTTTGACAGCAGAAGAGGGATGTATTGCCGCAACATTGAGGATTTTTAACAGCAGAAAAAGAGTGTGTTGCAATGGTATCAGGTAGCTCACAGAATTGTTGAGAAGGGAGAACTAGGTTTATAAATAATAGACACAACAATGGTGCTACAGGTCTAGGAATCAGGACACTTCTATGGTATAATTGGGAAATGGAGGTGTAGAGAGGTTAAGTAACTTGCCTGGGGTCCCATGATTTCTGAGTCTGGAGTCAAGCTCTGGATTACCTCCCTCTGGGCGCCAGCCCTGAGCAGCTACATTCAACTCCAGAACAGAATTGCCCATAAGAACATTTGTCATCCACTGAGCAAGGCTATAGCCAGGCACTGTGCTAAATCCATCATAGGTGTCATTAGCTCCTGTGATCTTCGGCTTATCTGCGAAGTGCAGACCTTCTTGCCAAGGTATCACATCGGCACTGGTATCGGTCTGCGCCCTTCTCAGTAGGTTCTCCAGGCTGCCCATTGCCAACAAGGGGGTTGAATAGAAAGCAAATAGCCCAACTTTTGCGTGCCTTTTGCAACCAGAAGACTTTTTTCTTTTCTTTTTGAGGAGAAGTCTTGATTATTTGCACCCAGTGATGCTAATTCAGGTTGGCTGCCTCAATAGGATAAAATAAACCGACCAATCTACTTTTTGGAAGCAGAATGTGGGAAAGCGGCTACTCCCTGAGCTGACTGTGCCCCAAGGGACAGATCCTTGTTTTATATAAATTGTCTATGAAAATTCCCCTAGATGAACACAGGAGAGAAATCTGGCAGAAGCCCCGGAGCAGGATAAAGACATTTGAAAATCCTTTCAGAAATCATAACCTAGATGCCTCTTCCATCTGCACCATTTCTGCGTGTTGTTTGTAAGAAATATGATTCTCTGTCTCATAGGTTCTCAATGTGCATGACAAACTCTGGAATGATATACAGAGGAGAAGGTGAGGCTGCTTTTCACGGTGGATGATTCAAAACCTCATGGGCCCCTCTCTGATTAAACTCTCAGAGGCTGAGAGGTGGTGAGAAGCCTAATGAGAGATGCTTCTATCAATGGCTCTCCCTTGTCCCATCTTCCTTTAAGGGAATCTCTGTGTACTATGAACACAGAAGGCTTCAGCCGACACAGTGAAAAAAGGAAGGACTAAGGGAGATGGCATTATTTTTAAAAATTAAAATGAGATTATGACACTGTGGTAGTCATTAAGACTATTTATAAATATCTTGGCTCTATTTTGGGCCCATGCTAAGATTATACTTTTTGGCCTCATTAATATTAGGCTGTGTGACTTGCTGTGGTCAATGAACTATGAGTGAAAGTGAAATGTATCAGTTCTGGGAGGAAATGAGCCAGTGTGATTTGCCATGACTTTTCCTCCTTTGTCACAATGATAGACAACATTTGAGACGGTAGTTGATTCTTTGGCTGGGGTGCGATGGTTAATTTTATGTCAACTTGGCTAGGATGATGGGTTCAGTTGCTTGGTCAAGAACCAGCCCAGATGTTGCTGTGAAGGTACTTTTTAGATAGAATTAACTTTTTTTTTTGAGACAGAGTCTTGCTCTGTCATCCAGGCTGGAGTGCAGTGGCATGATCTCAGCTCACTGCAACCTCTATCTCCTGGGTTCAAGTGATTCTGTGCTTCAGCCTCTGCAGTAGCTGGGATTACAGGTGCTGGGCACCATGACAAACTAATATTTTGTATTTTTAGTACAGACAGGGTTTCACCATATGGCCAGGCTGGTCTTGAACTCTGGCCTTGTGATCCATCTGCCTCGGCCTCCTAAAGTGCTGGGATTACAGGTGTGAGCCACCGTGCCCGGCCTGGTATGATTAACACTTAGATCAGTAGACTTTGAGCAGGTGATACTCCATAATGTGAATAGGCCTCATCTAATCAGCTGAAGGCTTTAAGAACGAAGACCAAGGTTTCCCAAAGATAAAAAATTCTTATCAAGACTGCAACATAGAATCCCTATCTGAATTTCCAGCCTACTGGTGTGCCTTACAGATTTGAGACTTCTCACCTTCACAACCATGCGAACCAATTCCTTAAAATAAATGTCTCTTTATGTATATACCCCATGAGTTATATTTTCCTGGCTGACACACTGGGTGAGGATGCACAGAGCCAAGCAGCACCCCAACTCAGAATGAAAATGTGTTGTGAGCAAGAAATAAACATTTGTTGTTAAAAGCCACTGAGATTTTAGGGTTGTTTGTTACTGCAGCACAACCTAGACTGTTCTTTTTTTTTTTTAGCATTTTTCATTTGCGTTTATTTAAACACAGTTCTCAAAACATTTGAGTGAAATTGAGCCTCCTTTGGTAAGCAAAGGACCTGAAAATAATATTTAAAAAATGAACAGGCAAAGTCTTCAGTTCATCCATGACACAGGTGTAGTGTTCCCTTCTCTCATCATGTACTTTGAAGCACCCAGTTTTTTTCATATAGTCTAAAAGCTAGAAGAACAAGAGTATATTTATGGTGGAATGTATTGTCATTTGCTGATAACTAGTTGAAATACTATCACCCCCTTGTAACAGCTTTAAGAAACAGCCTTTTAAGGCATACACTGTGTAACTCTTTGTGTTTCCTGCTATACATATTACAGATTACATAAAAGCCGACAAATCCACATTTATATAAGCATTAAGCACTGGCTGTATTGTAGATTTTTTTTAGTTCTAATCCTAGCAGTACAGAGCTACAAAGCATAATTTTTAACACTTAGTTGCAGGTATAAGTATGGTATGTATCATGAACTGGAGGAAAACGGGCCATTTGTCTTTAAATTTACTACTGACAACTGAATAGTTCTGCTAAGCATTGATATGTTAGAAAGAAAAGTAAAAATCAAACTGTTTATTGTTGCTTTTTGCCATTTGGTAGCATTTTACACAGGCTTCGATCTTCAGAGTACCCTGGATTCAGTAGAAAAATCTTTTAAATGAAGTTTTGTACAATAGAAACTTCTCAGCAGTCAAAATTTAGACTGTGAAAAAATACATGCAAAACATACTTTTCTGAAAACACTTAACTTTGAACAAAGCACCGAACTACACAAATGCAGAATGAAAACAGCATTTCAACTCCACCAAAAGTAG